CGAAAAAGAGAGCAATTTTAGACGAATCCAAAATGATGATTCCAGACTGCCAATTCAGACTTGCCAAAGCTATTAAGGAACTGGAAAGTGTTACTGAAGTAAGTATGTAAAGTAATGGTTTCAAATTATCTGTAGGAGTGTGAAGAAGAATTCAGAGATACAGAAGAATTCAAACAGGCGAAATGCCTATTGCAAGAATGCTTGAATACAAGTCCATAAAAATGAGTGTGATTCATTGTATTGTATAGTGCTGTACATTAAGAATAGGATTACTTCCCATTTCAATTCGTTTTATTAACAATTTGTGGAAAAGCAATCAATTATTAAGTGTGTTAAATATTTCTCTTCTTTTTTTAACTGAAGGGTAGTGGAAATCATCCTCTTGCCTTTCAACATGTCTCTCACTCGCCCAACTCCCTACGGATTGGAAAGACACTGTGGTCAGTCCTACGTTTAAGGATGATCAGAGACATTTCGTAACTAACTACCGGCCTGTCAGTCTAGCCAGCGTATTCGTTATTCGGGTTAAGTTACTAAGTCACAGATTCGCACAATCTGTTAACTCCCGAGCAACATGGATTTCGTAACAAGCGTTCATGCTTGACTAACTTATTGCGAGAGGATTAGACAGCAGCCCCAGATAACGGTCTGTCTCAACGTGACACCCATAGACTTTAGCAAAGCATTTGACAATGTCTCACACCTAGGTCTTATGCAGAAGCTCTCGAGCTTCGGGATAACGAGTGCTGTACAGGAATGGATAGGAAGCTTATGTGACCACAGACAGAGTGAGGGTCAATGGGATGGTATCCAAGTGGAAGCCAGTCATAAGTTGTATACCCCAAGACACCATCTTAGACCCTTTACTTTTCCTTGTCTACGTTAATGAATTGCTGCTATTGCTTAAGTCGTCGACGTTATTGCTTGCGGATGATGTCGAAATCTGTAGAACAATAAGAAGTGAGGCGGATCATTTTGATCTCCAAGATGAATTAGTTAGATGGGCTCGAGGTTGAGGATAAGAAGTTAATTGTAGGAGTAGTGTGCCCATGCACATCGGACACGGTAAGTTACCAGTATACTGTAACATTACATTTTTTCTGAGTTCAGGAACATAAAGACTTATGAGTAATAAGCAGTCATAACGTGAGAACAACTATGCAGTGCGACGCAGCTGCTGTGAAAGTGTTCCGTGGGTTATGGTCACTTCGCCGAGCATTCAAATGCTTTGATCATATGCTTCGAATTTTATATCTCAACTATGTAAAAGTACTGTATCCAAACAACTAACCCATGAACTGATAACAGATACCAACTCAATTAGCGTGTGGGAACAAAATTGGTGAAGGGTCTCTCTATACTCCCTTACGATGAGCGCTTAAAACGCCTAAACCTTCTCTTGTCTTATCGTAGGACGAGAGGTCGCCTTACACTGGCTTTTCGTCTTGTTTATTGTGATTTCGGTGTTAATCTTATCTTTTCGCTCCCCATAGCACCAATAATCTTTGAAGTCATAGTAAGAAGGTTCATAAACCGCGATCTAATAAACTTAAAGTGGGGCCCCGTTTTTCTCATCGGGTAATCAATGACTGGAACGCCTTACCCGGACAGGTGGTATAAGACCCATCAGTGACTATTTTCAAGGGGAAGCTGGACATTCACTGGAAGTCAATGTGTCAGGATCAACACAGGTTCACTAACTTGTTACTGAAGACTGAGGTGTATGTGCACGCTAATACACATTGTTAGTTTGTAAAATATAAACATCTGCCCCAATACTTAGTACAGATGCGGATTTGTGTAGTAAAGACAAAAGGCCTATGTTATTTCTTTTCTAGTATGTTTCTGTGTGTCCAGTCTTCTCTTGAATGAGTCAATTGAAGTTGAGAACACCACTGCTTCGGATAACAGGTTCCAAGTATCGATGACTCAGTGTGGAAACCTGTATGCCACGGGTGTTTTGTTCGTTCTTGTTTTTCTACTCTCCTGCAATGTCCCAATCTAGTGGGAAGAAAAAGAGAATATGTTAGGTCCAAAATAACTTCTCAGTATTCTGTATATCAGAATTAGATCTCCCCTTGTCTGCAATAGCACAGAGTAAAGAGGTCCAGCTTTTCAAGCCGCTCTTTGTGTGGTAAACCCCGTAGTTCTGGAATTGCACTAATGTATTGGTTTGACATCCATATCTTAGATGGAGTTCACTTCCCGACAAGAACCAAATAGCTTGTTAGATTCCTGTCAAATGATTTATTCAGATCCATTGTTGTGCCCCTTATGCTTCATTTCGTGATAGGACGCTGTAGCGATTTTACCAACGGTAGTGAGTGCAACCTGCTTAAATGGAAACCTAATAACATCCTACATAACTGGTATAAATTGGAAGAACCGAGAGCCCACAATTGAGACCTTTTAGTTCTTCGATACTACAATAGCTCAAAGACTTCGGTGTTGCTCTAGTTTGATTACCTCTGGAAAATCTCACGCACGTAAGACCTGATGTAAATCAAAGTCTAGTGACGTCGCAGAGATCTCGCTCTAAACTGTGAGTAAAGATTGTCTGGGAGTTCCCCACCCTAATTCATACTATGCTTCTCTAGCACTTCTCAAAGTCAGGTTCTCATAAAATAGTACACATACAATACACCAGTTTACGATTTCTGCACGGGGGTATATTTGTGTATGATCACAACTCAGTGATTCATGTTCAGATCCTCGATATTTCGCAATAGTAGGCGCATATTCTGGAAATTGTCACCAGGTATTCTTTTCGGATTTATTCGGTCAGCTATATGTATCTGGTCATAATAAAAGATTGATGATATTGGATTCGTAGACTCGTAAATAGCGAACGATGTCTAATAGTTTCCAGATAAAGAACAGCGGATATGTGCGTTCTATACACTGTCGTACAAAGTAAATCCTTAGGTTTGTAGATTATAGTTGTAATCACTTTCTCGACCTTAAGGAGGCATTTGACTCAGTTGGTCGTAAGGTTCTATGGCAGTGTTTGTCACTGAAAGAAGTACATTGACCTTACACAGGGTCTGTACTCGAACAAGAGTGGCCGAGTGAGAGCTTATGGCGAACCGTCGTCAGAATCGCTAGCCTCGAGTGGTGTTCGTCAAGGCTGTTCACTGTCTCCATTTTTGTTTAACTTTGGCATTGACGTGCTTTTAGAGATAACAGTTTCCTCATCTAAATTTCCAGGTGTTGAACTTCTACTGGGAGATTCACTTGTTGACTTAGAATATGCAGATGACATAGTTCTATTTGATGAAGACGCTGACAAAATGCAGAGATTTATGACCAACATAAGCAACTTATTCACCATAGAACTGTCAGTTACCATGGCAAGAAACTTCCTAAAATAATTAGGAGATGCACTTAGGGTTACTCACGTGCAACTGTAGCGTGTGTTGAACCTTGGTATGGTGAAATGAGACGTCAATCACTTCAACATCTATGTCTCACGTAAATAATGAGTATCATGGCACACCAATATTCAGCCTTGTTTAGAAATAAACCATTTCTTGATATCTCTGTAGCTCTCGACCTAGGTATATATTTCGGAGCTGACTGTTGTGTAATGTCATCCTAGGACGTGATTATATTGTCTGTATTGAAAATGGGGAATGCGATTGTGAAACTCCTATTATATACCACAAGTTTCTATTAGAAGTCATATTAAGGTATAAGGTGAGTCCTTGCATATACACAATGGTGGTTACGGTCACTACTTGCTTACACCTGTCACTCGTCGAGTAGCATAAGCCGCCCATCAACATTCTCCATAGAACTGTGTATTGAGCAGTCCTTCCCAGTTATTTTCAACTGCTATTAATTTCTGATGTGTCTTTAGTTCCCGAAACTATGTGTTCATTGGTCTTTCTTCTCTCCTTTTCCCTTCAGGATTCCAAGTTAGCACTAGCATCGTAATGCAGTTTGACCACGAGTCCCTAACCAAGCTTAAGTCAAGGATTTCGAGGACTACGTTATAGTCCTGCGTGTGTATGTCAGTAAATGTGATGGTATTTGTCTGCTAAAGCCACTCTGGGATACGTAGATTCGATAAGTGATACTTAGTATTGAAGCGATTTCAACTAACAGCATTTCTTGTTGAGTCAAAAACACTTGTAAGTACGCGAAAATAAACTTCTAAGGGCCGCATACGAAGTGATTCAAATTAAGACCAATCCCAATTCAGCACTTAATAAGCATTTAATTTAATATGTTGTAGTGGACGGGGTTCTAATAAAAGTAAAATGGAGCTCAAAAGGTGTCGAGTACCGAGATATGTCTATTTTGGTATGTAAGGCATTCTGATGGACATGTGTATCATATATGGAACCACTTATAGCAAGCTTCAGGTGAGATAAACATAACGCATCATGTATTAATTTGTGTTAGTCAAGGTTGTCCCAGTGCATATATTAAACTATTCTGATTTAATAGCATCCACACAATGATATACAGTAAGTACTAAGCCACTAAAAACAAGCTATTTATCAGTAACGCTGACTATTTTCAAAACTAGTGCCAAATGCTGAACTCCTGTAGTGTGAAAGAAGACGATTAGGCTGCATACTAATCCTTACTATAAGAAATGTCAGATTAGAATGTAACCAGACTACATTTGAAAATAGGGGCAAACATAAACCATAGGTAAGTCGTAATATGGGATGGAATGATCCGTAAGGTACATCATCCATAGTCGCAGAACAGCGACCGGCAACACAAAGAACAGAGGTCACGATGTATTGTACGGAACGTTTGGAGCTCAAAGCTTAACCAGATATTACAGTTAGGTGCTCTGTATTTAATCGGTAATGAAGATAACAGCCTTTGATTTTTCGGCAAATCGGCCATTTAGAATATGACCGCACGTAAATTTTACTAATTCTGTCGCAGTTCAGACATTTGCGGCTACGCAGAATTTACATAGTGTATTTGGGTCGTCAGAAGCTTTGATGTTTCATAATAGCGGTGAGAGCGGCAAAATCTAACTAGTTTGGAATTTATTAATGTAACAACTTGGATAAAACTATGAGTTACAAAGTGGTTTATTGTTTCTTATACACCAGTATAAAAGCAAACTGGTGGTAAAACCAGTGGAAATAAATATGAAAAAGAAGATACCCATACAACTAGAGTAGATTGTATGGCATTTTCAGTAGAAATGGACTTTGATTTACGTACTGGGAGATGCGTGAAGACCTAGGCTGTTTTAAAGAAATTATTCAAAACAGTACTTGGTAACATGGTTATTCAACCAATTTTATTAAATAGGTCCTCACATCATTCACCAAGTGATCACAAAATAAGTAATATAGTAAATATTTCAAGCACTGCGGGTATATTTACCCCAGAAGTGCAAAAGAAATACAGAAACTATGAAACACAGACTCATAACTAGTACTGGTACAGGTCCAACTTTGATTCCGGGAGAATCTTCTGAATAAAATAGGAAAACAGGATTTTTCTGTGCAGTTGGAGCAACTGGTCGTCTAGCTGAAGAAGCCGGTGCCTGAAAATAGAATACATCGTATGCATTACAAGAAGATTTTTGGAAATGAATACACTTTGGAAAACGATAATGTAACCTGGTATATGTTCTACTTCTGTTAACTAACAAGATTTAAGTTTTTCGAGGGCAGTCTTGATCTCCTTTACAAAACAAACAAATATTTTATGGAACACAGTTAATTATTCCCAACCATTGTTGACCTATCGCTCGCAATTCTATTAAACGTATCTACATTAAATGCAACCGTGAAGAAACACGAGCGCTTTGGTTTATCCCACCGTTATTACGGCAGAAAACCAAAAGCTTCCAAAGTACAATCGTTTCACCAAATTTATTAATAAAGCGAATTTGGCGATTAAAAATGCTTCAGGATAGATTACTTGGTCAAGAAGTGTATGAGTTGTCTCGTTTTTGTGGCACAATATCAGTACCCATTTTCTCTACAAATCATTAAATTCCTACAAACAATTAGACTATGAAATGCTGATGAGGCTTTATAGCTTGGGTGGATGGGTTTGGTTATCTAAATAAAATGGTTTAGTTGAAAAGCTCTATATGTTGATTATGACTGATTGATGATCAATGATCTTATTTAACAGTAATATTAGAGCTTGGAAAACGGACCGTAAAGATGAACACAGATTTATACAAAAAGATAGTCTTATTGAATGAATCACATCGTCTGTATTGTTGCTCCTGAAATAAATTAAACAGAGGTGCTTTAACATCTACTGATGATGAATACATACACAATTACACAGTATATGAGATATGGTTGCTTTAGTAATTAGAAACAAACATAAAGTGTCTGTAAGCTAATGGTAAAAGAAAATAACATTCGGATTCGACACAATATTTAGGCAACACTATCTGATATACGGCTACGTAAATTCAATTAAAATGATTCATTGTAAAAGATTTGTGTTATCAGGAATCATAAAAACAATAAGAATACACATTTCAAACATTCATCGAATCGAGCTACATGTAAACGCGACTGTAACACATGCAGCGTGTGTCCTGAAAGCACACATGTAAGCTTATGTAGGTTACAAGAAAAAGTAAGTCAATTAAACAGGAAAGTTCCCTCCAAGATAATAAACTGTGTTTATAAACAGTAACAAAGAGCTAGATTATTGGCTGTTAAAGCAGCAGAGCAAGACAGTCAACTAAAGTTTCTCAGCACATATAATTTGTAAAAATCCCTTACAAGTGTTGGATATAAAGTAAATATTGTGAAGTATTTGACACATATTACAGGTATTATGCTAGTCCATATACAGTTAGTTGTCAAAAATAATTGCAGCGTAAACGAAAGATAAATCACAGAATATGCCGAGTTCAGTTAGCACTCATCAAGATTTCGGAAGCCATTCACCTACAAAAAGTCATGCAGCGTTCTAAGCACTGACATAACCAGTGGAAGAGACTAGTTTTGACGAACGGACGAGATGAATTTATCTAAAGAATTATAACAAAATAATCTGCTTCCACGATCTCCAATCGAGCCAAAAAGACAGTTCTGTATGGTAGATAGATACCAATTATAATTTTAGGATTACATCTTACTACCTATGAATAAATGCAAAAGAAGAGTGACAAGAACGGTACGAGCTCTTGATTCGAGCCATCACTGATGTCACAAACCACCGACTTTGACGTCTTCCATATCACCTAAACAGTTAAGGTAATTTGGTCTGTCATAAATTGATAGTCAATTTTCTTAGCCGGTGATATTAAGAGAACAGTGAAGGAATACATTGATTATTTTTAAAGCCTCGCCAATATTGGCGAGTGCAGAAATATTTCTAATATCCATGTAGAATTAAATCTCATTTTAACTGTTAAGAACCTGCTGCACTCCGACCATAGGATATGACTAGCTGATAACATTTAACCAGAACATATGCACCTACTGACGACGGTCAGACTAACAGTCAATAACTTGGTAGACTGCCTTAGTTTATTCAACCCTAGTCTTTCTCTCACTTATTGCTCTGTTAGCCAGCGTCGTGGGTTAAAGTAAACGGTAGTTAGATATGCTTAACAAATTGTCAAACTATTTGTGTCAATGGTTTTTAAACCTAACAGTCAATTTACTGAGTACTCTATGCAAAACCTCAGTGTTATGATCTCACTAAGAGAAAACCCATACAAAGAAATCCCAAAATTGTTAGTTTCCAATAAATGTAACAACAAGAACGCAATCATCATTAATTGTGGTTTATTTACTTTGTTTCAATGCTTTATGCACTTTATGTTTTCATTGAAACATGGGGAATGTCTCTATTGAGTCGTCTGATTGAAAAGTTTACAAGCGAATATTGATCAGATTATTTGATTTGACGTCTGCAAAAGCGGACTAGGTAATAATCAGAACTGTACACTGGTTTATTAATCTGAGATAACAGAAATGACCGAAATAAGATTCTCATGCATGTTTAAAAAGGGAAAACAATCATCCATGGTGCATAATGGTAAAGTTTTTAGATATAAACTTTGAGTATGGGTCAAAATAGCGTCTGGATTTTCACGTATAGTCGGTAGAATGGTATTTAAGAATTAATAAGGGTTGAATGGCAGGAAAACTTAAATATCTACAACCACATTCAACAGGAAACCACTGAAAGCAACAATCGAAGAGCCACGTAAGACTTTTTTTGCGACTAACAGGAGCGAAATATCTCGTCTAGAAATTTATCATTGAAGGGTCATGTCCAACTTATATGTGAAAGGTTTATGAATTCCTTTTATTTTACATTCGCAAATGAACCTATGTACACATATTACAGGGCTTCAATCTTATCTGTATTACATTTAGCTGTACTTATGTACGTTATGCTTTATAGGAGTAAACTGGATTTAGCTTTTCATTTGAAAAATGTGCTTCCCGAGTCGATTGAATACAATATGTGTTTTGGTATATTGGTATTTTTTTTCCATGAGTCACACCCAAGAGTTTGAAAATAAAGTTAAAACTAATACAAAACAAGTTGGTTTCAAATAGGACTAACAAAATTCTTCTAGGATATACCGAAGATTTCGGCTTTTTGTTGAAAGAGATCACGTACTTCAGAAGTATTAAATCAAGATATCGTTCTATATGTATTGAGGTATGAATTTACAGGCACCTAATATATTTGAGTTGTGTTATGAGAGCACACTGAAGTATAATAAATGTGTACTTAATACCTTAGCATCTCATAATTAATGAACTAACCTTTCTCTGCCGAGCACCTCCGGCTGATCCCCTCGGTGATGCAGTGGCAGACTTTGATGACGCAGAGGATGAGGTTGGCTAGATAATGTTATGCTAAACATGAATAGTGCCTTACCATCTTACACGTTGAAACGTCTATTTATTTACGTGTCTCCTTGATGTACCTTGTTAACTAGATTAAACAAAGAACTGAGGTTCGGCTTGACGAGTACTGTACATATATCAAAAAGATAACGGTTTATCAGATAAGGACGTTGAAATAAAAACAAGTGTAAATATATTCAGTGTTAGTAAACAGATAAGAAGCTGCTTTAAAATGTGTAGTGACTCACGTTTATCACGAGAACACGACTGGTTTAATAAAAACAATTATTATTACAACCAACTGTACCAGTGTTTGTTTTAATGTGCTTTTGTTTGACTGTGCTAATGACAGCTATTTTCTGCTTCCATTCTTTTACTTACACTTTGGTTGTAACTTCGCGCGAATTCGGTTACCTTCTGTAACCACGATCGTATCCTGGCACGATCTCGGTATCCTTTCGATGCCACGAGATCGCCAGCTAATAAACCTCGACTTGGTCCATTAACTGTCTTCTGGTATTCGGCTTCTCGGGGATTTTATGGAGTCATTTGGAACGAGCTTCTTACGCCTTCTGATTTATCTGGCACGTGTTTTCTGGTAGCGGTGTTCATAGTTAATCTCAACTCGACGCCACGCTACATTGGTGAGCCGTATTTTGGAACACGCCTCAACTTCTGATCAAATCTTCCAAAGAAGCCAATTCGGTGAGTCTATGATTTATCTATCCACGTCTGTCGTATATTTTCATATTTTTAATATATAATATACGCGACATGACGGATAACGATAAGAATAGTATTAATATAATAGACTCACACGTATGTGTACCGAATCCTTGTCATTTTTTATTCGCGTGATGATGAATTCCACGCTTTATTCGAGAAATGTTACCCTATTAACGATTCTCCTCGCTGACCCGGCTGCTTGGTACGGAATGCATACGCATAAGCATCTCCGTCTACCACCCAGCACCAAATGGTTAAGTTGAACGGTTTCACTGCCAACTTAAAAGTGTTCTACGAGCACACGAAAACGGCAACTGGCACGAAACCATACCGCTCGTTCTTTTAGGGGCGAGAACGAGCTTAAAGGCAGATAACCAATGTTCCGCCACTGAACTTGTATACGGCACGACATTGCGTCTGCCCGGAGAATTCTTCACACCACGGAGCAGACCTAATTTCGGTAAATCAGACTACGTCCATCGACTGTCTGCATTTATGCGAACGCTGCCTCCGGTGTCAACTCGAATACAACATCGACAGGTCGCTCTCCCTCGAGAGTTATCTACCTGTTCACATGTTTTTGTACAAGTAGATTCGGTACGCAAACCTTAGCAACAACCTTACGAAGGCCCTTTTCACGTGATCGCTCGTCACGAAAAGACCTTTAAGGTTGATCGATATGGACGCGTCGAGATCGTCAGCATTGATCGTCTCAAACCAGCACACGTCGATGACAGTGCCCTATCTGACAACCTGAGATTCAATGCTAGACCTATCAAACCTAGCGGGATCCTTAAATCTTCTTCAGGTCCCACGCTAGATGTATCTGAGACCTCATTCTCACGTCCCGGTCAACAGCACGCGTCATCTGCACCGTCTACGGACGAGACGACAGTCTCACGTCCAGATCAGCAGACCACGCCGCCTCTGACCTCGGATGAGATTGCAGGCTCACGAAATACGAATGAGACTATCGTCTCACGTTCCGGTCGCCGAGTACGGTTACCCGTACGCTTCCGCGAATAGTCGCACAGTCAACTACCGATACGGTGTAGGATTATTCCTATACTACACGTATGCTACACTCTTCTTTTTTTGATTTTCTTTTTGTTTCCTGAGCCCACGCCTTCGACCATCTCCGTTTGGTTCCGTCGACTTCAGTCAACTTTGGCGAAAGCTGGCCTGATCACCCATGCTCTTGTCAACGCACTCAGTCGATATATTGGTTTCGAACGCTTGGCACACGCTTGGTCACGAACTTGGTCGTAACGGTCGCTTCTGGTCTTTCGGCTCAACGTGGTTTCGTCCTACGTCTGCAGCGTTTCTGGTGCGCACCTCTACGAACGCCCTCTTCAGATTCTGGATACAAACCACTCTGGTGTAGCATGCCAACTCAAGCAATAAATACAACACATCGCTCCTGGTACCGTTCTCCGATAACGACCTTCGTTGGCAACTCGACGATCAACGATCGCTTTCCTGTTCGCCAATTCTTCCGTCCTACAATCGCTCATCAGCCGATCAGTCCCACGATTCAAACCGCTATTTATCGAAAGTGTAAACCCTTTCTAGCGGGGGGCTCCTGTAGTGACTCACGTTTATCACGAGAACACGACTGGTTTAATAAAAACAATTATTATTACAACCAACTGTACCAGTGTTTGTTTTAATGTGCTTTTGTTTGACTGTGCTAATGACAGCTATTTTCTGCTTCCATTCTTTTACTTACACTTTGGTTGTAACTTCGCGCGAATTCGGTTACCTTCTGTAACCACGATCGTATCCTGGCACGATCTCGGTATCCTTTCGATGCCACGAGATCGCCAGCTAATAAACCTCGACTTGGTCCATTAACTGTCTTCTGGTATTCGGCTTCTCGGGGATTTTATGGAGTCATTTGGAACGAGCTTCTTACGCCTTCTGATTTATCTGGCACGTGTTTTCTGGTAGCGGTGTTCATAGTTAATCTCAACTCGACGCCACGCTACAAATGTATGACTTATGTTAAGATTATTGAATCTGTTGGTGATTTTAAGACATCGATAGTCTCAGAGAGTAAACATTATAACGGTTCAAGGGGTTGTGGAAAGAATGAAAGGAGCTCTCGCTTAACGGGCTTCCGTATCTGGTAACAGTGAATCACCGATACCATCGGGTTGGAACCTAGGCAAATGAGAAAAACATCAGTAAATTATAACGAGATACTGTCCTCAGTCCTTAAGAATATGTCAAGCTCTCTTATAGGACTCATTGGAAGCCGCTTGCACTAGCTCAGAAGGCAGAGAATTCCAGCATCTGATTACTCTCAACGAGTAGAAGGTGTGCCTACGTCCGTTCTGAGATTAGATGGTGTTTGGAGGTAGTCAACAGGAAACCCTGGACTCGGGTTTCGTGCTACTTGGCACTCGTCAGCAAGGTGTACCTGTAATCTTGAGGGAACTGGTAGTCCCTGGCGGATTCGATCTCGTGTCACCCAGCTTCACAGTCAGAGACGTTATTACTGAGCTATCCGAGCCGCGACTGACCTCCTGTAGGACTGAGATGTAATCACAATTGATTGATCACCGGGTGGTGATCAATGTCAGGGAGCACCAGTTCCCTCAAGATTACAGGTGCACCTTTCTGACGAGTGCCAAGTAGCACGAAATCCGGGTCCAGGGTTTCCTGTTGACTACCTCCAACCATCATCTAATCTCAATACATAGTGCCCGCAGTGTCGAGTCACCTAGACTGGTGGCCACATTGCAACGTGATCGATAGCATTCGATCTGTACTAATAAGGAATAGACAAGCATGACATTGATCACCACCCAGTGATCAATCGATTGTGACTACGTCCGTTCTGCTATATTGTGTCTCCAGTCTCTTGGTGTTACCCCTGAGGTTTGTGTTGGGGCTGAGCCTAAGTAGGCATTCAAGAGGATGTTCAGAATTGTTTATGATGCTGTAAATCATTGTGAGATCACCTCTAAGACGCACATACTCTGATGAGTAAAGATTAAGTGAATTGAGGCACTCGTCATAAGGCTTGAATTCGGGTCTCCGAACTGATTTCGTGACTCGCTGTTCCAATGTATACTTATCATTTTGGGATGAGAGAGGGAATACTATACCTTTAGCATACATAATTGACTAATCCCTATAACCATAAGTAGCCAGAATCTTTTGATGGAGTATGGTAATTCTGATGGAAAGTGTTTAAGAGTTACCCAGGTCATTCTGCAGATCTGAAAATTTCATTTAATACCAAAAACACTACTCAATAAGAGTGAAATTATTTGGAGGGATCGAACAATACAGGCACAGATTTATCGTCAAATCAGATGACCATGAAACAAGCAAGCGCACGATGATAGTTGGGTGGACGAGTACACTCGACAGAATGCCAAAATCACCCATCATAAAAACTGTTGATTGGTTATTTAATAAAGAGGATTGTAGCGGTAAATAAATCCCCAAAATAAATAGCTCTGTAAGTTTTCGACATTGGATGCTGACCACATTAGTTTTAGTGGACTCACCTAGCTGAAGGCTTCCGGTCATGCATCCGCACCAGATCACGAGTGGGAACGCCGTGCTCAACAACCCCTACAATCGCTAGCCGGATTAGATCAGACGATCTTCGATATATTGATGGCCTATCAAATATATCTTCGAACCTCCTCGCTTCTGTCTTTTGATTTCACTTGGTGGGTACGATTCATATTAGATGTTACTGGTTAAGGCGTTGTCAAACTCCGAATAACTGTGGCGTCTTTATTGGTGAGCCCGACGTTATGTGGTACGCCAAATTGCAAACTGTGCGTTTGTTCCTTTTGGGGATTCTATATATCATTGCCTTATTTTAATTTTTCATACACTGCGATATTTTTCTCCGTGTTTTTGGATATATATACATTTCACTCGTTCATTCCTGTACTTGTTATTTCACCATAACTGAACAGACACCCAAGGTACTTAAGCTATAGCCTATGACTCAACCTTCGTTCCAGCCGATGCCCTTCTGACCAGACAACAATGAAGCCTGGTTCGGCTACACAGAGGCCGACTTCTACGAGTACGGCGTGGACGACACACGTGTACAAATCCTCGCAGCAGTCAAGGCACTAACTCGCGAATTCGACAGGTACGTAACACCCAATATATTTACTAGTGTTGTTCCTGAACCCTACGAAACACTTAGCCGAGCTATACTTAGACATGGAGACGTGACTGATCGACAAAGGTTAGACCAACTCCTTAATAACACCGACATGCAGCACGGTTCTGTGACAGGCATGTTGCAAAGAATGAGAGAGGCTATCGGCTAAAAAACCTTCGATGATGGCGTACCCAAACAACTTTTCTTATTCAAACTTCCTCAACAGGTGCAAGCTGTGCCGGTCTCGTTTCAAAACAACGCCTTAGACGAGCTGGCTGAGTGTGCCGACCTCATCTTAAAAACCTCGAAATCTAATGCC